CCATGGTATGACTTCAGTATTTTTTAATTTATTGAGACTTGCTTTGTAGCCTAATATGTGATCTATTCTGGAGAACATTCTGTGTGCACTTGAAAAGAATGTGTATTCTGTGGGCACCTGGGTGGCTCAGTCAACTGAGTGTCTGACTTTGACTCAGGTCATGATCTCGCTGTTCATGGGTTCCTGCTTCCTACTTTTCTTACTCCTGCTTATGATCTTTCCTTACCACTCAAAGAGATCCTCCTGGATCTGGATTTCTGTTTCCTTCCCTAGATTCAGGAGGTTTTCAGCTATTTCTTCAAATAAATTTTCTGCCCCCCTTTACACTCTCTTCTCCTTCTGGGAGCCCTATAATGCAAATGTTTTTATGCTTGATGGTGTTGCTGAGTTCCCCAAGTCTGTTTTTATTTTTTTCTCCCATTCAGCTTGATGGCTTCCCATTACTCTGCCCTCCAGGTCACTGATCCACTCTTCTGCTTCCTCTAGTCTACTATTTATTCCATCTAGTGTATTTTTTATTTCAATTTGAGTACTTCATCTCTGATTGGTTCTTTTTTTGTTTTCTATTTCTTTGTTAAGGTTGTCACTCTTTTCTCAAGTCCAGTGGGTATCTTTATGACCATTAATTTAAATTCTCTGTCAGGCATATTACTTATCTGTTTGTTATCTCTTGCTATGATTTTGTTCTGTTCTTTTCTTTGGGACAAATTCCTCTGTCTCCTCATTTTGTCTAATTCTCTGCATTTTTTTCTTCTCTGTGTTAAGAAAGATAGCTACATCCCCTGTACTTGAAAGTAATGGCCTTATAAAGAAGAGATCCTGTAGTGCCCTGGCGTGCAGTGTTCCCTGTTCACCAGAACCTGGCACTTCAGGGGTGTCTCCTATGTGTGATGCATGTGCCCTGCTGTTGTGGCTGAGCCACTTTTTACTTCAGTCCAATTGTCTGCGATGGCTCTCTTTGCCTGTTGTGGGCAGGGTTTGGTCCCTGTGCTGTTAGTGGAACAGTCTGGGGCCACCTTTGGCTTGAGTTGAGTCAGACCAGGGGTTGGCCAGAGATGCATTAGCACAAACTGCAAGGTGTTTCTTGTGTTGTCTTCTGAGAGACTTTCATTGGTTGAAGGGGCCCACAGTCAGACCAGATATCTGCCCCAGCCCACTGCTAGGGCTGCAGGCAGACTGGTTGTGTGGTTATCTTTTCTCCCTGGGGCAGGAGTCACTTTGGAGTGGTGCTGGGTCATCAGGGCTGCTTACACATTGCTAGGCTTGTTGCACCACTTTGGATGGGCTCTGGTCAAGGGCATATTGGACGGGGCAGGTACACAGAAGAATGTGGGGCTGGGGGCCTGGGGCACACAGTGTTAGCAAGGTTTGTGTAGGTCTGCTGTGGAAGGGGACCTGTAGCCACCAGAACCAAGGCTGGCTGGATTAGAGGGAGTGGATCCCAAGAAGCACTTGGGAGCAGGGTGGGTTGTGTTAGCAAGGTCTGTTGTGATAGACCTGGAGTGAGACACCTGCATGTCCTCAGGAGAACACAAGGGTGGGGGCAGGCTGTTAGCAAGTTAGGTAGTGTTGGAACAGTGCTGGTTCACAGGTGTCCATGTGTTTATGTTGGGAGGTAGGGGAGGGAGATGGCATCTACCAGCTCCTTTGTTCCTGGAGAAGTCTCTCAATGATCCCTACCCTTCCAAGCACATGCTCTGAGATTAGTAAACAAATCTCCCTCCTGCACACCCCAGGTGATTTTCAAACTGCTGCTTCTAGGTTGTATCTCCAGGGGCTGTTTATTGTGCTATCTTTTTAAGGCTGGGGACTTAGTTTCCTCTCACCATCCCAGCTCTTCCAGAACTGAGCTCACTAATTTTCAAAGTTCCAGGTGTAGGCCCCTGCTTCACATGCAGGATCCCCGTGCCTGAGGTGCTTGGTGTGAGAGTCTTGTCCTCTCCCCTTTCCATGCCTGTATTGTTCTTCCCTCCCACAGACAGTCGCACAGTTCCATTTAGCTTCTAAACACATCTCTGCCCTTCCTACCCTCTGCAATGTGGTCCCCTTCTCTACATTTAACTGTGGAAAGTCTGTTCTGCCAGTCTTCAGATCACTTTCTGGGTTACTTACACTGATGTAGGTGTTATCTTGTTCCATGGAACAAGATGAGCTTAGGGTCCTCCTACTCCATCTTCCCCAGAAGTTTGATGTTATACATTTTTCAAACAAATGTACCAGGTACAAATATCAAAATAAGTGTTATTCTTTAAATCATTTTTGAAAGGAAATAAACTGATTCCAACAAACTACTCAAAGCACTCAAGTAGCTCATGATATTTGGGATGATCCTGGTAATAGTTTACAAACCACCCAAGAAAAGAGTCTCGTTTATTGCTCCTTATTTTAGATTATATAATATTTAATCATACACCTTATTCATCAAACTTAGTTTTGAATGATTTAAGAGATATTATCAAAGAGTATGCTCCAAAGCAGCAATGTCCAATTAAATTTTCTGCAGCAATGGAAATGTTCTATGTCTGCACTGTCCAATTTAGTAGCCACCAGCCACATGAGGCTACTGAATACTTGGAATGTGGCTGGCACAATTAAAAGACAAAATCTTTTATTTTAATTAACTTAAGTTGAAATAGCTGTATAGGGCTAATGACTATCAAATTGGGTAGCATACATAGCTTAAAGCCATCACCAAAGACAAGTGCCTAAAATACTTTTGCCCTCAATATATGCCAGCAATCTTATTAAAATTAATGTATGACCTTAATAAATAGCTAACTTGCATATATAAATTGATCTTTGTGTTAAATAAACCAGTGATATTGCTATAACGATTCATTTCATATGCCAGTGCCTACTCTTCAAATACTCATACTTTTTATTTAAAGACTTTGTTCCATTTTGTGGGTCCAATACAACACAGAATCACAACAGAGTCAATGGTGACCACTGTGATTGCAGAAGTATTCTTTGGGAGCTCAGGTCTGTCATGGATTTTGCCTCCTAGACAGTCCCCCTCTCCAATGATGCAATAATGAACATGTAAAAAGGTCAAATCAAGAAGGCATGTACTTTTGGAGCTGGTAAACAAATAGCAGAACTAAGATGTCACGAGACTTCAACTGTGAGTGAAGTTTTGCCAAGAGAGCCGACATCACTCAACATTAAAAGGCAAGAGACCATCGACAATGAGATAATATCAGCCTTCTGTGCTGACAAAGGGGCTGCTGTGCACAGTTCCACTGAGTTGAGTTCGTGTTGCAAAGGAATGCCAATGTAATATCCAGGCCTCTGCTATACAGCAACTGATTTGGGTGGGTGGCAAAAGTTTTAGAAGCCCGGCATATGCATCCATCTTTCCAGTCTCACAGTTTAGTAACTTCAAATACAAGAAAATATACTTTTGAAGATGTATTCCAGAGCCTCCATGGTCAAGTTAACTTCTGAACATATGTACAGTTCATGTACATACGTGCCAATATGTACAACATTAGCATATTGATATATTCTGGGCCATTTTAGTTTTATTTACTTGTAGATTAATTTCAATGAAAGTTTAAAAAGGTGTGTTTACAACATAAATTTACATTTACCATATGCTTATTACTTAACAGATTAAATAATGACCACATTATAAGGTACTCATGAGACATTCATGTTTTAGAAATTTTACTTTGATGAGTTTGAAAGGAAGCAGAAATAAATCACAACAGAGTTAATGACCCTAATTATTTTTAAAAATTTATTTATTTAATTCAAGTTAGTTAACATACCGTGTAGTATTGATTTCAGCAGTAGAACCCATTGATTCTGTCACTTACATATAACGCCCAGTGCTCATCCCAGCAAGTGCCCTCCATAATGCCCATCACTCATTTAGCCCATCCCCCCAACCTACCTCCCCTCCAGCAACCCTCAGTTTATTTTCTGTATTTAAGAGTCTCTTATGGGTTGCCTCCTCTGTTTTTGTCTTATTTTTCCTTCTCTTCCCCTATGTTCATCTGTCTTGTTTCTTAAATTCCACATATGAGTGGGGCACCTGGGTGGCTCAGTCGGTTAAGCGTCCGACTTTGGCTCAGGTCATGATCTCACAGTTCGTGAGTTCGAGCCCCACATTGGGCTCTGTGCTGACAGCTTAGAGCCTGGAGCCTGCTTCAAATTCTATGTCTCCCTCTTTCTCTGTTCCTCCCCTGCTCATGCTCTGTCTCTCTCTCCTTCAAAAATAAATAAAAACATTAAAAAAATTTTTTTTAATTCCACGAGTGAAATTATATATTTGTCTTTCTCTGACTGACTTATTTCGCTTAAAGAATACACTCTAGTGCCATCCATGTTGTTGTAAATGGCAAAATTTCATTCTTATTTTCAATGATATTAACTAGCTCTTCAAATGTTGGAAATTTCCCAAGAAATCTGTCCATCCATGAATTCATTTCAAATTACTATATTCGATACATGTATATTTTCTTTGCATTTTTAAAACTGATTTTGCTTCTTTCTTTAGTATTTTGGAGATGAGGAACAGATCTTCTCCACATTCTTTGACCTTCAAAGTGCTTTATACAATGCTAATAAATTTTATTATTTTGGTGACAGTAGTAATTGAATAAGAAGAACAAAGAGTACAGTGTTGTGACACATCCACAATGAAACAATGAGTAAGAAGTAGAGATAGTACTAGATCAGAGAATATCAGCACAAAATATTCCCACAAAATACTAGCGCATATCTGGATGTAGTGAATTAAGTATCTGTTTCTGTTAAAGTACTAATAATAATTATTGCTGAACAAGCATAAACACAATTCTCTTCCTACCACTACTTGATTCAAGGCATTCTCTCTTCCAGAATGAACATTGTTTCCATTTTACCCCCTTAATTCAATGGATATTGACTTGCTCCTGAGCTGCCAGAACCTCCACTCCTCCTGAAAGCTCTGATTTACCATAACTTCCTTCCCTCGCCCAGCCCCAACCAGACCCCCTCAAGATTTGATTTACCTTAACATTTTCTGGCAATGGTTTGTTCTGGGTCAGCCCCACAGCGATCAAAGCAATCACAGCCATGATAGAGGAGAAGCCAAGGATGATCAGTATGTTTCTAGAACAAAAACTCTTCAGTTCAGACTCTAAAATCAAAAGCAGAAAAGGAAATATCAATAAGAAGTCAACAAACATTGACTTTTCCTCCACTTTCTGTATGGTCTTGTGCTAGCTATCTGGAGACATCAAATATAGATAAAGGTCCATCTTTATTCATAAAACACTTGCAAAGTAATAGGTAAATAATTCAAGAACAAAAGGATTTGTTTGTTCTGTGATGAGGACCAAGACTGAATTAGTGGCTTTGGTAAGGAGAATGGACAGAATTGGGTCAGTGGTCAGATAAGGAATGAGGAGACAGAAGAATCCCAAATTGGCAATTTAATAGGTCATGTAGGTCTATCAGGGTACAAGTAACAAATAACAAAAAAGCAAGAATCGTCCTCATTTCTCAAATATACCACAAAATGCTTAAGATGTTAAAAAGTATTTTAAAAAAAAGATGTTAAAAAGTATTCAGAATATATCATCAAACATGAAACTCCCACTACCTCAAGATATTTTCTGGCTTGATATCCCCTTGCATTTCAGCCACACTATATGTTGTAATTGGTAATAGCATAGAGGCTGTGGAGTTTTGAACATATCATCATTCCCATTATCTCATCTATTCTGTTCTTAACCTGTCATGGGACATAAAAAAGCTCCAAGCAAAGAATTAGATAAAAGGCAAAAATTACTTTGATCATCATGAAGACAGCATATAGCAGAAGTGAACAAGAAATGGAATGCTGCTCACTCCCTCCATTCTAACAACTCACTCTCTTCCTCTTTCAACTTCCCAAACTATCCCTAAACTTTTTTCTTAGACTTTGAAGAAGAAGGATAGGATAAAGCAATAAAGAAGCACGTGAAATGAGATGGGTTCTACAGAAGAGACTGCACTTCTCTAAAGACAGGGCATGGGATTAAAACAGCTGAAAAAGGAGCCCAATTGAGTCTTTCCCTCTGGGTTTCCCTCTTGATTAGCAGCAGCTACCGCATACTGAAACAGGAGTTCCTCCTTAAGCTTTTGAGCAGAAGCTTGGATTTAATCCAAAGAATTGTAACTGCATGGGTCTCTAGTCTGCTCATCAACCTCTAGTATCTTGACCAATCTTTACCCATCAGACCAAACAGTACAAAACTTAGAAGAAAAAGTTTTAACAAAATCATTAGCTACTGCTTCCAAACACAGCAACAATAGATGAAATATACAGCACTTCCCCCACCCCTTCTCCCTTCTCAAAAGAACTTCAATTTTGTTCAGATGCTTGCCATTCCTCCAAGCGGTCCCCATACCTCATGGGAAAAGGATACAACCCTCCAGCTCAGGGTCAAGCCTGATTGTTGTGCATAATCTCATTCCCTCACCAATGACTAGTTCAACAATGGATATGTACCCAAAAATAGTCCATGAGATCCTAGAGGAAGGCTGCTGGGGCAAGTTCAGGAAAAGAAAGGCAGCATTCTCGTCTTCCTCAGACATTGCCCTGCCTGGATAGGATGACATCCAATGATGGCAGAACACAGAGACGGAGAGAACTTAAGTTTTTAATGGCATTTTGTACTGGTGAAACAACAAATCCTGATCCAGTCCTCCCATGAGACTTATGCTTTGGCCTAGTTAGAGTCAATATTTTAATACTTTGAAGCCAAAACATCCTAATATAACTGGTATGACAGAAGTCTGTTTGATGCCAGGGTTCTGGAGTCTGGAAAAGAGCATCCCCTAGGTACTACCTGCCTCAGTTCCCAAAGTTATGATATTGACAATCACAACTTGTAACAAGCAGCACTTTGGATGAACAATTACAAATCAAATACCAAGGGTAGCGCACTGCAGCAATGTTTCTACTTTAATTGAATTTTGAATGCTCTACTCCCTCAAGCTGTTCCCAAAAAATCTACCTATTAAGTTGTTTTGTTCTCATAAGTATGACAATTTTGCTTTCTCACTTTCCTTCCACATCCATTGGGCACTAATCTTAGTGGTGAAAAAGACCAACAAGGTCCCCACTCTTTGGAGTTCACAATCTAGCTGGGGAGATAAATAAACCAGAACAGAAGTGACAAATAAGTGACTTCAGGTCATGATACATGCTAAGAAGAAATTTAAACTAAGGAATGTTTACAGTTTAATGGAAATTAAGTAATGGGATATGCAGCAAAGTTGTGGTGGGAGAATTAAACTGAAGCAGGAAAGCCTCTCCAAGAAGGTGACATTTGAGCTGAGACCTAGATGTTGAGCTATGAGAAGGAGTAACATTTCAGAAAAAGGGGACAGCAACTGCAAAAGCCCTGAAGTAGGAAACAGCTCAATGTGACTGTTTCTTCCATTTCCTAATGAGATTATTTACTAACATCATTATTCCTGAACAGTTGGAAATATACTTTCCCACATTTACCCAGGTTTCCGATGACATCCATATTATTAGAATGTATTGAAGACTTTCATCATATTCTTATTAAAGATAAGACAAGAAAAAGAACTTGAAGAAAAAGCTAAGGAACTTTTCATACACGTTTTTTAAAATTAACCAAAAAAATAATGGCTCAGTTTGTTTTTTATGTAACTGGCTAGATTCCCAGGGAGGAGTAATTAAAATACTACCATGTTTTCTATGGATTATGGCAGGTAGTTTTCCAAAGCCCTGATCACATGCAGGAAGCCAGACTCTTCTTAGGAGGTGGTCCTAGATGTACCACTAAACACAAGGGTCCAGGTGGGACTTAGCTGTGTTGTGCTCATAAAAAGGGAACCACTTAGGTTACTACCCCTCTTCTCTGGCCCCAGAAACCTTTCAGATGTCATGACTGCTTTTATCAAATCCTGTTATGGAAAATTCACAGTGACTGTGTCTCCCAGACTCCTTGAAAAGCCCTTAATTTGCTTTGTGGATAACAGAAATTTGGTTTCTATCACACCATGTGAAATACGATTTCAAAAACCAATTTCAAGAAACATTTTATATCAGAATATCTAATGGCAAAGTGTTGTGTTTGTTTTCCTTTCAATTGTCTCACTATACTGGAAAATTCAAGATTATTACTTCCTTCCCATTTTCCCCTTTCATATGATGAGCAGGGAAATGTTTCTATTTAAGATGAGAGAACCAAGTAGAAAGTTCAGCTCTCACTTGAGACACAAAACTGAAGGAAACCCAAGCTTTGAGAAAACCGATTGATTTCAAGCCAATTAGCTATGTCTGAGGAAAAAAACCAAAAACAAAAAATGATGTTTTTATTCTTATGCAACAGCCATCCTGACATCTATAGTTAGCATCCTATTAAAGTGAAGATCAGTCTTATTTAGTTTTGTCCTTAGCGAAAATTCTGCTGAACAGAGAAATCCTGGCATCTCTACTTCATGATATCAAAGACGTAATATCTTAAAATTTTACTATATGAATAAAAAGATTTGGAGTGTTGGCAGATGTGGTGGCTTTCAGGCAAAAACAACCCAAGATCCTGTGTGACTCACTAGATTCAGACCATTTCCAATTTGATGGGTCACATCCGGACTAAGCTTGGCTCATCACATAGAAGAAGAGCAAACACAGACAAGCACTGGTGAGTAAACACCAGTAGAGTGCTGTGGCCCTTGATGTGGGCATTGACAAAACTTCAGGACAGTCACTGAAGTTCAAGGGACTGGTCCTAATCTGGCCCCACCATTCCCCCAAATCCCAGCGTCAAAGTCCCTGCTCCATTTCTCCTATCTTCCTTCTTTTCCATCAAGTAGTTGTTCTTGGTGACACACATTTAGGTTGTTCTCACACTTCAGGGTTTTAAGATCTTTCTCAATTCTCAGTTCATTCCAGGTGCCTTAGACCCACCCTCTTCTGTGGTGATATCCACTCTGGTCCAGTCACTTCCACCTCTGCTACGACAGACCTTTCTTATACCTTCCACCCCTTCCAGTGCCCTTCCCTATCAGAATCCATCCATGTATGGCTGCAGAAATCTCCCATAACTGACATTCCCACGGTTCTTCCTGATCAGGAGTCTAAGGTAGCTTCCTGTGGGCTGCCAGATGAAAGCCATACTGATCTACCTAGACCTCTCAACCCTCTGGAAATGTAAGCCCTTTCTATCTCACCATTCCAAGAAGCAGATGTTTTTCTTCAAGATCATACTGCCTGACATCATGTTCACTAGAATGTAAATATCCTGAGTGCAGGGACTTTTCTTCTGGCTTGTTCATTGCCATATTCCCAGTATAATGAATAAATAAATCTTCAGATTCTTCTCCTGAGAATCTGAAATTTCTATCACTTAGAATTCTATTCCCCTCTTTCTCCACTTCTTTTTCCTTGTCTCTTTTAAAATCAAGCTCAATAGCCAGACTTCAAGCTGTATTACAAAGCTGTAATCATCAAGACAGGATGGTACTGGCACAAAAACAGACACTCAGATCAATGGAACATAATAGACGACCCAGAAGTGGACCCACAAACGTATGGCCAACTAATTGTTGTTTGACGACAACGAGAAAGAGCCATCAATGGAATACAGACAGGAAGTCTCTTCCTTGAAGTGGTGCTGGAAAACTGGACAGCACGACAAAACCTCAACCCTTTCTTACACCATGCACAAAATAAACTCAAAATGGATGGCCACAAAAATGTGACAGGAGGCCATCCATGCAGAACTCCCCTCAGGAAAGCAGGCAACAACCTCTTTGATCTTGTACAGCAACTTCTGATAACAAGTCTCTCTGGAGGCAAGAGAAACAAAAAGCAAAGACAACAGGACTCATCTAAAAAAGCCTCTTGCACAGCAAAGGAAACAATCCTTGTCAGCAAAAACTAAAGGCAACTTGACAGATATTAAGTATTTGCAAAAAATGTACATTCAGTATCCAAGATAAAAGGGTTAGTACCAAAATCTAAGAACACGCCAAACTGCTTTTAAAAAACAAATAATCCAGTGAAAAATGGGCAAAAGATAGATAGTTTTCCAAAAGACATCAATAACCAACACATGAAAAATGCTCAACATCACTCATCATCAGGGAAATACAAAAGCAAGCCACAATGAGATGCCACCTCACACCAGTCAGAATGGCTTCTTTGAGGCAACAACAGATGTTGGTGAGGGATGTGGAGAAAGAGGATCTCTCTCACACTGCACTGCTGGTGGGAATGCAAACCCCAGGTGCACACTCTGGAGAAAATACTGGCATGGAGGTTCTCAAATTAAAAAATAGGAGGAATTTTACCTCGACCCAGCAATTCCACTACTAGATATTTGCATCCAAGGGATGCGGGTATGCTTTTTTTTTGAAGGGGCACCCAATGTTTTGGAGCAGCACTATCAGCAATAGCCAAAGTGGAAAGAACAAACAATATTAGTGGATGAATGGATAAAAGAAAGAAGTGGTATGTATACAATGAATTATTAGGCAATCAAAAAGAATGAAATCTTTCATTTGCAGCTAGCAACGGATGGAACTGGAGGGTATTATGCTAAGCGAAATGAGTCAGTCAGAGAAAGACAAATATCATATGACTTCACTCATATGAGGACTTTAAGACACAGAACAGATGAACACAAGGGAAAGGAAGCAAATATAATATAAAACAGGGAGGGGGACAAAACAGAAGAGACTCTTAAATATGGAGAATAAACAGAGGCTTACTGGAGGGGTTGTGGGAGGGGGGATGGGCTAAATGGGTAAGGGACATTAAGGAATCTACTCCTGACATCATTGTTGTACTATATGCTAACTAACTTGGATGTAAATTTAAAAAATAAAATAACAAAGTAAATAAAAATTAAAAAAATAAAATCAAGCTCAATAGGAAGCTATGTTCCCATCCATATGCTTCAAAGCTCAATTGTTCCAGTAGTTCTCTCTCTGTGTGCTGCTTCTGGATACTTAATGGATTGAGCCATTTGTTTGGGAGGTCTATAGCTATTTGGGGAGGGGCTATGTTTCATTTGTTTTTTCAGTTAGTCATTCAATAATTATTTATGGAATGTATTATACTGTGCACTAGACCTGCCCTAGGCTCTAAGCTACAGCAATGAACAAAACAGATAAGCATCCCCATCCGCATGGTGCTTATATCCTAGTCTGGAAGAAAAGACAATAAACAAGATAAGTAAAATTTAGAGTATATTACATAACCATAAGGGCTAAGGAAGGAGGAGAAAAAAGCAGGAAAGGTGAAGAGAAAGAATAAGTTTATTATGAAAGGTCTCTCTGAGATGGTGATATTGATGACAGTCAAAGATGTGAAAAGAAAGCATGCATACCTGTTGAGCAAGAGCATTTAAAGCAACCAGAATTGCATGTGCAAAGGCCCTGAGGGTGAGACAGTGCCTGGTCATGAGGTCAGTGTGACTGGAAGAGTGATGCAGGGGAGAATAATAAAAGATTGTCAGGTGGGTAACTGGGTTGCTTGCTTATAGGACCTTGCAGGTTCCAGCAAGGTTTTGCTTTATTCTAAGAGATCTGACTTATTTCTAGTCATTTGTATTATCTACACTCAGCACCATAAGGTAAATAAGAAATCATCAAGGGCCTTTAAAGTCCCTGGAAAGGGAGGATGTGGCCTTTTAGGCAGCACACACCTGCCTCTTGTGATGAGGTGCTGAGGCTACTCCAATGAGGTCAGGTCACAGCACAATCACACAACCAAATATAGGCAGACCTGGCTCTGTTGAAGAAAAGACTGTGCCAAGACCAGGTGAGATGGATCCAGGAGGAATAAATACTATCACGTGGGAGGTCTTCTCTATACCTTCTGGCCTTGGTGGATCAGGACCAGAGAATCTTTGCTGAGAGAACATCATCATGAGGGTTCACTGAGCCAATAGTCACCATGATCCATGAGCAGAATGCTAAACTCCACAAACGTCTGAAGGGTGGCTCAAGATATAGCAGAGCCCAGACAAGCTCACCTTTGCTCAGCCTCTCTGAGTGTCCACTTCCTCATGTGCAAAATGGGGTCCATAATAGTACTTACTTCATAGGGTTGCTAGGTAAGATTCGATGAGCAAACAATACATAGCAGCCTATACTTCAAGAGCCTTCACTGTACTCCAGATTCTGCTCTTAGCACTTTGAATATAGCCACCCATTTAACCCTCACAACAATCCTCTGACGTAGATGTACTATTATCATCTGCATCAATTTCCTAGGGCTATCAACAACAAACTACCACAAACTTGGTGACTTAAAGCAATAGAAACTTATTCTCTCACAATTCTGGAAGGCAGAAGTCCAGAATCAAGGTGTCAACAGGGCCAAAGGCTCTGGAGGAGATTTCTTTCTTGCGTCTTCCAGTTTCTGGTGGCTCCTGGTATTCTTTGGCTTGTGGCTACGTCTCTCCAATCACTGCCTGCACATGGCCTTTTCCCCTGTGTCTGTGTGTGCTACATTTCCCTCTCTCTTCTCTTATAGGACACCAGTGATTGGATGTAGGGCCCACCCTAAATCCAGAATGAACTCATCTCAAGATCCTTAATTACATTAGCAAAGACACTTTTTCTAAATAAGCTCACAATTTACAGGTAGGTACTATTATCATCATTACTGTCACTCTACAGATGAGGAAAGTGAGTCACAGAGAAGCTAAGTAAGTTGCCCAAAGTTACACCGATGTAAATGTTGGGACCAGGAAGTAAGCACAGGTATTCTGGACCCAGAGGCCAGGCTTTTAACCACTGTCCTACCCTGCAGCACATGACTGAGGCTTAGTACAGTGCTTGGCACATAGTACTGGTGCTGTATGTGGGAGCCAGTCCCATTATCCAGAAGTGAAAAGTGACTGACTTTGATGATTTGGCTATAAGAGTGGTCTGGACTGTTGTCACAGGTGAAAACAGACAATGTTTTACCTTTAAAATAGAGTCTTTTGTCCCTAGGAGTCAGAAGCTTGGAGCTAAGTAGCAGAGACTGAGATTGTAATTCCCCAAGAAGTTAAGGGGACTTGGTCAAAGTCATACATTTTGTTTGTTGGTTTGCAGGCTCCAGGCTCTGAGCTGTGAGCACAGAGCCTGACATGGGGCTCTAACCCACAAACCATGAGATCATGACCTAAGCTAAAGTCAGACGCTTAGCTGACTGAGCCACCCTGGTGCCCCTCAAAGTCATACATACAGACATGTGGCAAATGGCAGAGAGGGTTTCGATCCAAGTCTCTCATGTCCACTCCACTGCCTCAGCCATTGCTCTGCATTAGGAACATGTAGAAATTAATTACTCAGCTTCGTTCCTTGACTCAATGCAAAAGAACACACCCCAATTTCTGTTCAAATGGAAAGATCATATTTCATCTCACACCCCCCATATTTTCCCAATTAATAAATCCGGAGTCAAATTTGAGGACAAAGCTGTTTAATTTGGTGGGGTTTTTTCCTGTGTTTTTAAGTCAAGGAAGTCAGTACAATGTCAACAAATACACAAATGCTAAAAATAAACTGAAAGGCCTCAATGATGACTAGTTAGTTAAAGGGCAAAAGGCAAAGGAGAGGGAGGGAAAACACGATTGACCCAGGCTTGGGAGACATGGGCAAGAAGACAGATCCAGAGAATAAAAGGGGAAGGGAGAGGTGGAGGATGGGAATGGAAAGAGAGGGAGAGATGATTAATTGAGTAAATTACCCATGCCCTGTCCTACTGATCCCTTGAACCACAGACTTCAGAGGAAGCTATTTGCTTCTATTTATGATCATTTATTCCTAATCTTTGAAATGTTAATTAGCTGGTTAATTTCAGCCCACAACTCTTTAGAAAAGGAGCACATTTATCTTAACAAAGTGGCTTGGCTGATCCTGAGTGAGCCCCATCTGAGGCTCAGCTTTGGGCAAGAGGAGCCCAGCTAGGGACACTCAGGCAGTGGAAATGCGAGTAGGGGTGCTGAGCTCTTCCTGCAAATTGGATTCTACCACCCCCATGTTCCCCTCTCCAAGGCTCTTGCTGTGAGCTGTGCTCTTTTCAGATTAGCAGCAAGTAACTGACTTTGCATTTGGTGTGCCTGACTGGAAAAATTGTTAATAACTGCAAAAATCAAATGCCAGTAGGGGCTCTATGTATGAGAAATAAGGAAGCAAAGGAGTCTCCTTCCTCGCTCTTCTCCTTACTTCCTCCCACCATACCATCTACCACCTCACCCACACCCCTTCTGGCCTCTCCTGAATTATTTTGCCCATAGACTGCATGGAGCACAATAAGTCTTTGTGGTCATCATGGAATCCCGTATTCAAGTATAGGGCTGGCAAGGAAGAGGGTTGTTTCCAGCAAAGTGACATCACTGAGACTGCAGACAGGAATTCCCTGTGTCCCAGCCAAAAAGTGTAACAATCTCATGTATTGATGGTCTTTGCACTAAGCACATTGCTTTCACTAAATGAATCCTCTTCCACAACTGAATTGAAGAAATGCATCCTGGGGACTCTGCCCTTTCTCAGAGCAGCTGCATTTGTCAATAAACTTTGGTTAGTTTCATCCAGTGACAAAGACTATGAAAATCTGTACTGGCCATATATCACCAGAGTAGGGGGTCAGAGGCAAGGTGGAGTAAACTGACTCACTCAGGTTACCTAGATTTACAGTCCCCTGTGTTCTATACCTTACATTCATAAATTCTCTCATTTCTATCTCCACATCTTTGCACCCATGAGATATAAAAGTCAGAAGCAACATAAAAATATTTCTGCAGCAAAATATGCCATAAACAAGGTAAAAAGTTACAAAGTACGAAAAATGTTTGTAACAGCTATGAACCAGTTAGTTTCCTTAATATATAGAGTCATTAAAAATCATTAAGAATATGATCAACCTATCTGGGGCGCCTGGGTGGCGCAGTCGGTTAAGCGTCCGGCTTCAGCCAGGTCACGATCTCGCGGTCCGTGAGTTCGAGCCCCGCGTCAGGCTCTGGGCTGATGGCTCGGAGCCTGGAGCCTGTTTCCGATTCTATGTCTCCCTCTCTCTGCCCCTCCCCCGTTCATGCTCTGTCTCTCTCTGTCCCAAAAATAAATAAACGTTGAAAAAAAAAATTAAAAAAAAAAAAAAGATACAGGCTGTCTGTAGAATATGGATGCAACGCAGAGACCACCAAAGGCATGTGTACAGCACATTCTATTGACTTCTTGCTCACACCCATACAGTCTGCTATCTTACTTGCTCAGACTTACAGAGGTAGGAGGAGTGCAGCCAGACAAGGAAACAGACTTGGGGGGCCAAAGCAGACAAGAGTGATTCCATATGCTTTCTCTTCTTTGGAGTTATAATATTGTTCTGAATGGAAGGGAAAGTGTCTCCACCTCAGCATACCACAAAAAAGGAAGCATACATTATGGTCCTTGGAAATGATGGCTAAAATAGTTCAAACTCTTTATAGAAATTCCTGAAAACCCAAGTACTCTGGGGAACACTTGAGTTGAAGAGGAAAATTTTACTCCACCTTTTGGGAAAGTCTTTGTTGCCTAGAACTGACCTCTGGGAATGACACATTGGTAGACCCATCTTTAGGGATGGGATAGTTAAGTTAGATAACAAAGAAACTATTGGGCCCACCCTCTACCTATTCTCTCAGGACTGGGTGGGGAAAGGCCACTTCCTCTCTTCTTAGATTTTTATATGGTTACTGGTATGTTCATTCCACTTCTCTTGCCTCCAGCTCTCTCCCTCCAGCATCTCCAGTGACCTGACCCGTCATGCCCCAGCAGTTCTTAAGATGTGACTTCCTCTAACTTGTTTTTTTTTTTTTTTTCTCCGTATACTCTGGGCATTCCTAAATTCCACCTCCTCACAACCTACTCCCTCCTTGATCCACCACACCTGGCTTCTGTCCCACCATCCCACTAAAGCCACTCATAGAAACAGCCAATGGATGCTTTTCAGTATTTACATTTCCTGTAGACTTTGACACTGTTAATTTCTTACTACATAAAGTCTCTCCTTTCTTGGCTTCCATGACACCAGGCTCTCTTGTAATAGTCCTCCTATTTCTCTGACCCCTGGTTTACTGGCTCTTCTTTCTCACCATACCCTTTGAATAGGGATGTTACATAGTGTTCTGAGAACCTTGGCTCATTTCATTTTATATACATACACTCAACTCAAGGGTGATGACTCTCTAATCTGTATGGAGATGACTCCCTAATCTGTATGGAGATGACTCTCTCATCTATTATCTCCAGTCCAGAACTTGCTCTTGAGCTCCAAATCTGTAATTCTAGTCACCTACTGGACATATTTGCTTTAATGTTCTACAGCCAAAATCACCACGTTTAAAACTTAACTGTCTTCCCCACACTAATTTTTCTCTATAATCTGCTCAGTGAAGGTCACCACCATACCACCATACCAGTGTCCCTAAACTCCTTCTTCTCCCTCTGATCAAGCTCCAAGTTTTTTTGATTCTACCCACTAAATATCTCTCAAATCCTTTCATTTATCTCTTCTTGCCTGGACTTCTACAACAGCTTCTATAGAGGCCCTCTCATACTCAGGCTCTTCCCCTTCCAGTCCATTTTCTACTTTAGAGCCAGCACGAACATCCTAAAAATGCAAACCTGATTCTACAATCCCACCAGTGTGAACTTCTGATTCTCTGAGCAATGTCTCAAAATAAAAGCAAAACTCTTTAACAACAGTTTGGAGGCCATGTCCCCAGGTATACTTCAAGGTGTTAGTTTCTACACTGGCCCTTTTTCATATCCTTATGCCTTACACAATGTTTCTGCTTCTTTCTTCTGTCTAAAACACTATTCTTTCCTCTCACTTCTTTTTAAATTTTTTTTTTCAACGTTTATTTATTTTTGTGACAGAGAGAGACAGAGCATGAAC